CAGATCTCAGCTATTGCTGGGCGTGAAGAACTTTAGTTCTAACCATCTGGGTGCCAGTGGTTTGGGGGGCAGACAATGCCTCTCTTCCGTGGTGTGACCTTCTCTTCCGGTCTTCCGAAATGTGGCGCATGCCCACGGTCCCTCCTGACCCGTGAGCTGAGAAACTGGACTGTGAGGATGGTGCTGTCATGGTATGCAACCTGCATCCCACATCTTAATGCCCACGCACTGTGATGCCGCTCACTCCCACCTGCCAGGTGTTCCTAATATTTCTGGCGTTGTTCATTGGCCACAGGTCCCCTGCTGACAGCCCTCATTAAACCCTGTGGCCTGCCAACTGAAGAGACCTCCCTGGGGTGAATGACATGCATCGTGGGAAGTGAGATGGGCCTTTGCCCTACATCAAAGCTGCATCATCAGCCTGGCCCTGAGGATGTCTTGACCAGACAGATCCCATTGGATGCTCCTCCAATGATGTAGGACTTGGCTTGAGTGACCTGGCGAGAGGGCTGGGAGGAAGCTGCCTGACACAGGTGCCTGGGGCAGGGCAGCCTCCTCTCAACTGGGCTGACTGGCAGGTGAAAATGAGGCTCTATAATCAGAAGGAGTTTTCTCGGCTCCCCTTACCAACCCAGGGTGACCTCAGGGAAAGGAGGGGCCAGGTGTGGCCATGCCCTCCCTACTTCCCCAAGGAAGGGAGATGGCCACTAGGGCCTGGAAGAGAGAGGGATGGGGAATGGGAACTAATCAGCTGCCCTAAAGTCCTGGGACCAGGGGAAAAGGTGGATTAGGGTTCAGGGGCCCTAGGGCCACACTTGGACTTCTTTCTTTCCCTACAAAAGCCAGGAGGAGGTGGGTGCAGTGGCTCATGCCTATAATCCCAGCACTTTAGGAAGCCAAAGCAGGAGGATTGCTTAAGGCCAGAAGTTTGATTCTAGCCTGGGCAACATAGTGAGACCACGTCTCCTCAAAAAGAAAAAAAAAAAAAGATTAGCCAAGAGGGTAGAAATCACCTATAGTCCCAGCTACTTAGGGGTTTGAGTTGAGAGGCTCACTTGAGCCCAGGAGTTTGAGGCTGCAGTGAGCTATGATTGGGTCACTGAACTCCAGCCTGGGCAAGAGAGCAAGACCCTGTCTCAAAAAAATGTCTGGGCATAGTGGCTCAGGCCTGTAATCCCAGCACGTTGGAAGACTGAGGTGGGTGGATCACCTGAGGTCAGGATTTTGAGACCAGCCTGGCCAACATGGCGAAACCCCGTCTCTATCAAAAATACAAAAAATTAGCCGGACATGGTGGTGGGCACCTGTCATCCCAGCTACTTGGGAGGCTGAGGCAGGAGAATCACTTGAACCCGGGAGGCAGAGGTTGTAGTGAGCTAAGACCACACCATTGAACTCCAGCCTGGGCTACAAGAACAAAACGCCATCTCAAAAAAGAAAAAGAAAAAGTCGGGAGGTCCCTGGCCTTTCCCAAGACACAGTACACCAAGTCAGGAGTATATGGGGTCATTTAATCTCCCCTTGCTGCTTTCGCCTACCACAAAGCCATTGGACACGCTGTTCCCTCTGACTTGAACGCTCGTCCCTCATCTCCCCTGCACACTGCCTAGTTAGTGCTGCCTCACATCCTCAGACCTCCTGGTTAAATGGTCAAACAGAACCCTAGTCCTCTTGTTCAGAGTGTGATTTTCATTAGGCATTGCTTGTGGTGACTGTTTGACTCACCCTCTTAACTCACCACATTTGCCATGCTCATCATGGTACCCATGGCCCTACTTTACAGATGCAGAGACTGAGCTTCTGAGGCTGATAACAGCCTGAGCCAGGATATGAACCCTTATCCATCTACATCAAAGGCCTCTTGTCCTTAACCACCACATTATCCTGGCTCCCTGAAGATAATGTGTTCCAGGAGAGGTCTAAACAACAGCACTGCACTGGGGGCTCCTGGAATGTCTCCTAAAGGAGATGGCATTTAGGCTGGGCCTCTAAGGTAGAAATGGGGGGAGGACATTCTGGGTAGAGGTGACCACCCAAAGAAACTCACGGAGGTAAAAGAGAGGAGAAACGCGACGAAGGCAGCATGCTTAAAAACATCGAGGGGAGGTCACCAAGGAACTTCAGGCCATGCTGGGGGCTTTGGGCCATCCTTTCTCAGTGGTGGGGAGCCATGGAAGGTTTCAAAGGAAGAGACAAATGTGATTCCACCTGTGCCTGGAAGATGACCCTGGGCCCGATCTGAAGAATGACCTGGGAATAGCAGACATTCAGAGCAGGGAAACTGGTCTGAAGGCTTTTGCAAAGATTCATGGTGGGTGTGAGGAGGAGCAAGCAGTGGACAGGGAGAGGTCAACGCCTCACCTTTGCTCCACACCAGAGCTCTGTCAACAAGCTCACTCAGGGAGTATCAAGGGCTGGGTATTCCTTGGTGCCTGGTCTATGGACATTATATTCTACCTGTAAATTACAAATACATTACAGCTGATGGTTCTGAGCATTTCAAATAATTTGGAGGCAGGGCAGGCAAGCCCTAAAGTGGGGCTTAGCCTTTGAGGGTTCTTGACTTTGCCCAGGAAAGAATTCAAGGGCAAGCTGGAGGTAGAAGAAACAGCTTTATTGAAGAGGCAGTGTTACGGCTCCATGACTGCCCCTGCAGAGAGGGGCTACCCTGTAGGCAGGGAGTAGCAAGCCAGGACAGTTTTGCAGTCACATTTATATCCACTTTTAATAACATGCGGATCAAGGGGTGGTTTATGCAGAAATTTCTAGGGAGGGGTAGTAACCTTCGGGTCATGGAGTCATTGCCAGGGAAAGGGGCGGTCACTCCCAGGTGTTGCCATGGCAATGGTAAACTGACATGGCACACTGGTGGTCACGTCTGATGGAACGCTGCTTCCGCCCCAGCCCTGTTTTAGCTTGTCCTCAATTTGGTCCAGTGTCCAAGCCCTGCCTCTGGAGTGGAGTCCCGCCTCCTACCTCACCTTAAACAGCCAATGCAGAAGTCCAGTGGCCCCCCAAATTAGTACTATACTTATATTTAAACCTGTTCCTAAACATCCCACCTGAAATTAATCTGTGGATTGATTCTTTCTGCTCTGCTTTTATACCTTCCTACAATGTAGTCACATGGTTCCAGTGTAGGGTTACAGCTGCACCCTTCAACATCTTCCTTGAGTTTCAAAATTAGCATTTTACTATTTTGTTGGAATTGTTATCTGAATAGGCCCAACTGAAACAATAAAATTGGCATTAGACATTTCTTGGTGTTACAACTCCAAGTTATTAACCAATTAACTCTACACTGCAGGGGGCATGGAACCTGGGACTTCTCCCAAGGTGATTAAAACCTGAGCTGATGGTTATCAGGCTGAATTTACTAGGTATGGTTAAACTTTGTTACCTCAATCAGACTTGTCAGGTTCACACATTTTATGCGGGTGGATTTGTTTGTTTACAGCCTGATATGCCCCTTCTCTCCTCTGACATGGCTGTTTATGCTATCCAGTTGTTAGGAGTCATTGGTGTGATTGGCTTCTTTAGTATTTTGCCTTGGCTGGGTGCAGTGGCTCATGCCTGTAATCCTAGCACTTTGGGAGGCAGAGGCAGAGGCAGGCAGATCACTTGAGGTCAGGAGTTCAAAACCAGCCTGGCCAACATGGTGAAACCCTGCCTCTACTAAAAATACAAAAAAAATTAGCCAGGTGTGGTGGCAGGCACCTGTAATCCCAGCTACTCAGGAGACTGAGGCAGGAGAATCACTCGAACCCGGGAGGCAGAGGTTGCAGTGAGCCAAGATCGCGCCACTGCACTCCAGCCTGAGTGACAGAGTGAGACTCTGCTTCTCTCTCTCTCGCTCTCTCTCTCTCTATGTGTGTCTATATAGACACATATGTGTATATATATGTGTGTATATATATATCCTCATTGGTTGGACTATTTGGAGGAATCATCTCGTAGGAGATGAAGGATCAGTTTGGCTCAGGTGGCTCTCTCTTTGGAAGATTTGATGATGTCATAATATTTTTGAGTTTTTTCTTGCCCAGGCTGGAGTACAATGGTGCAATAATAGTTCACTGCAGCCTGAAACTTCCGGGCTCAAGTCATCCTCCCATCTCAGCCTCCTGAGTAGCCAAGACTACCGGCATGCACCACCATGCCTGGCTAATTGTTTTTCATTTTCTGCAGAGTTGGTGGGGGGAGGAGGAGTCTTGCTATATTGCTCAGGTTGATCTCAAACTCCTGGCCTCAAACAATCCCCCCTCCTCAGCCTCCCAAAGTGCTAGGATTATAGGCATGAGCCACCATGCCTGGCCGATATCATCAGGTTATACAGAATTTTCCACAATGATAGATACATCCTATATCCTCACTGTCCAATTTGCTAGTGTCAAAGATAAAGCCAAACACTAATTAAAGGCAATAACCATTGTAATAGGAAAGAGAGCCCAATGTCACTGCAACCTCCTCCTCCCAAGTTTAGGCGACTCACCTGCCTCAGCCTCCCAAGTAGCTGGAATTACAAGCATGCACCATCACACCCGGCTAATCTTTGCATTTTTAGTTGAGATGAGGGTTTCACCATGTTGGCCAGGCTGGTCTCGAACTCCTGACCTCAAATGATCTGCTTGCCTTGGCTTCCCAAAGTGCTGGGATTACAGGCATGAACCACCATGCCCGGCCTAATACTATATTCTAGAAGAGTAACTTATTTCTTGATATTGGTTGATAGAAAAAAGTCTGGGGTTTTTGCTGAGCTCGAGGTCACAGCAGGTCAGAGTCGGGATGGAGTGTCTGTGTTGTTTTGCTGTGACCATCGGGCCACCATTGGGACACTGCCCCAGTCGTTCCTGAGGAGTGGGCTAGCTGTGATGCATAAGCTGTGACCCGCTGTTGTAGAATCCCTGTTCCTGAGAGGTTGAACAGGGTCTGGCCAGGGAAGGCCGTGAACTCATCGTGGATTCAGAGATCAAAGAGGAGGGCGTGGGGACCATGAAGTTCACCTAGAATTTCTCCATCTTCTCCATGAAGGTTTGGTCTGGGAGCAGTACCTCCACAGTGTAGCTGATGCGTTTACAATGAACCAGGCTGTAGGTGTTGTCAAACCTCAGGACATCTGCAGTGAGGGACGGACATTATTCCGACAAGATGCCCCACCTGGGACTCTGACTTTCATGGTGGTACAGGGAACGTGGGTACCCAGACCAGGGAACCATTGCCACGGCTGAGAGCCCAGAGCCAGCCTCACACTGTGCCCACCAGAACCAAGGGCCCTCACCTGGTAGGACATGGATGCACATTGTAGCACCCTCCACACCAGACCCACACCAGCTCCAGGTGAAGCCATCCCTGCCAACCCTTACAGCTGCCGGCCTTGAGGCAGGTGATGCTCCCGTCCTCGGGCACCCGGTGGGCGTTGTAGCGCTGGCTGGGCAGCACCTCCGTCATCTCCCTAGCCTTCTGCCGCTCCCCTATCTTGGTCTTCAGGAAAACCCCAAAGCCAATGTCCCCGCCATCCGATGCGAACTGCCACCTGCAGTGGACAGAGCCCCACTGGCGACCCCCTGCCTGGGCTCCAGGCCCCTGCCAGCTGTTCCCAGGTGTGGAGTGGCTGTGATCCCTACCTGAGCACACAGCCTGGGAACAGGATCTCGTTCTCCACCTGCAGGGAGGAGCCGCGGCCCACGGACACCGTGTGCTCATACTGCAGCCTCACCTGATTGCACAAGTAGTAGCTCCTGGGCACCTCACCCCCGTAGTTGATCTGTGGGTGAAGGGGGAGTGTGGGCACTAGATCACAGCTTCTCCCCTCCTTCCCCATCCTCTGGGCACCCTGTATCTTGGTCAGGCACTTGGGGTTGCCATCGGGTTCAGTCATGGTCCTTCCAAACTCCACGGGCAGCTGGTCGGGGCTGATGAATTTTGTCAGCTCCTGCTTCCAGTTATCTGCATGGGAGCAAGAGAGGGACTGCAGGAGACTCAACAGAGGGAAGAGGGGGCCGAGCCCAGATCTGTCCTATGGCCAGTTGCTCTCTCTCCCTGGCGCGCTTTTGCCACTCTACTGCCTAGAGCAGTCCTGTCCTGGAAGAGGGAAGCCGAGTGGCCCTAGGTCTTGCCCTGGGGCTCAGCATGTGCGTGTTGACTAGGTCCTGTCCCCAGGCCTGCCCCTCTCTTACTGCCCCTGCAGGCCCTGCCCCCACTTCTGTCCAGGTATTGGCCCATTAGCCACGTTCATAGAAACTCGGACCAGCAACTCCTGGAGCCTGGGGTTGAGGTCAGGCAGGCTATGACCTGGGCTTCACTTTCCCTTAGAGACTAAACTCAGCCTCCTGGTCCGATACTGCCCTCAGCTCCCAGGGCTCCAGCACCCTCAGAACTGCAGGGCAAAACTCGTGTCAGTTCCCCACAGCTGCTCTGAGATGGCCAAGGATGTTCCACAGACAAAGGGACATGGGCATTGCAGGAACAAAATAGATGAAAGCAGAGGTGGACACCCAGTACCCTCGGATAGAGAAGGACTGTGTAAGCACGAAGCAGTGGAAAAACAAAGGAAAAGCTCCCCAATTTGGCATAAAAACATAACACTAGGCTGAGCCTGGTGGTGCACTCCTGTGGTTCCAGCTACTTGGGAGGCTGAGGAGGGAGAATTGCTTGAGCCTGGGAGGCAGAGGTTGCAGTGAGCTGAGATCATGCCACTGTACTCCAGCCTGGGCAACAGAGAGAAACCCCATCTCATAAATAAATAAATAAATAACACTAAGTCAAAAATCAGATAATAGGCAAACTATGAACTGGCCCAAATGCCACAAATACGACAGGGAAGGCCCAGACATGGTGGCTCACACCTGTAATTCCGGCACCTCAGGAGGCCCAGGCAGGAGGACTGCTTGAGGCTAAGAGTTTGAGACTAGTCTGGGTAACATAGTAAGACATGACTCTACAAAAAATAACAATAAATTTGCCAGGTGTGGTAGTGTACATCTATAGTGCCAGCTACTCAGGAGGCTGAGGCAGGAGGATCTCTAGAGCCCAGGAGGTTGAGGCTGGAGTGAGCTATGATCATGCCACTGCACTCCAGCCTGGGCAACACAGAGAGACCTTATCTCTGAAATATATATATTTCATATATATATGTATATATCTCAAATATATATACACACAAACATACATATATATATATATATGGACTTAAGTGATCCTCCCATATTGTCAGCCTCCATAGCAGGAAAGGACAAGGTGCTTAATATGCAAAGAGTATTTATAAATTAATAGCATAAAAAATACTTTCCTAGAAAACGGTCATGAGACACAAGAAGGCAATAAACAACAAATTAAAATAGTCAATTAGCATAAAGAAAAAGTCCAGCCTCACGAGTGATAAAAGAACCTAATAACCCAAAGTAAAATAACAATAAACATCATTTTCCATTATAAAAATGGCAAGAGTATTTCAAATTATTAATATCCAACCATGGCAAGAGTGTGGGAAAACGGGCACATTCACACGCAGTTGGTGGAGTTAAACTCTGCAATCTGTGTGAGCACTACACTGGAAAAGGTATCAAAAGTCCTAACATGTAGCCAGGTGTGGTGGCATACCTGTAATCCCAGCTACTTGGGAGGCTGAGGAGGGAGAATTGCTTGAGCCTGGGAGGCAGAGGTTGCAGTGAGCTGAGATCATGCCACTGTACTCCAGCCTGGGCAACAGAGAGAAACCCCATCTCATAAATAAATAAATAAATAACACTAAGTCAAAAATCAGATAATAGGCAAACTATGAACTGGCCCAAATGCCACAAATACGACAGGGAAGGCCCAGACATGGTGGCTCACACCTGTAATTCCGGCACCTCAGGAGGCCCAGGCAGGAGGACTGCTTGAGGCTAAGAGTTTGAGACTAGTCTGGGTAACATAGTAAGACATGACTCTACAAAAAATAACAATAAATTTGCCAGGTGTGGTAGTGTACATCTATAGTGCCAGCTACTCGGGAGGCTGAGGCAGGAGGATCACTAGAGCCCAGGAGATTGAGGCTGGAGTGAGCTATGATCATGCCACTGCACTCCAGCCTGGGCAACACAGAGAGACCTTATCTCTGAAATAAATATATATATTTCATATATATATGTATATATCTCAAATATATATACACACAAACACATATATATATATATATGGACTTAAGTGATCCTCCCATGTTGTCAGCCTCCATAGCAGGAAAGGACAAGGTGCTTAATATGCAAAGAGTATTTATAAATTAGTAGCATAAAAAATACTTTCCTAGAAAATGGTCATGAGACACAAGAAGGCAATAAACAACAAATTAAAATAGTCAATTACCATAAAGAAAAAGTCCAGCCTCACGAGTGATAAAAGAACCTAATAACCCAATGTAAAATAACAATAAACATCATTTTCCATTATAAAAATGGCAAGAATATTTCAAATTATTAATATCCAACCATGGCAAGAGTGTGGGAAAATGGGCACATTCACACGCAGTTGGTGGAGTTAAACTCTGCAATCTGTGTGAGCACTACACTGGAAAAGGTATCAAAAGTCCTAACATGTAGCCAGGT